ATAACCACTACACTACGGAAACCCCATGAGATGGTGCGTTCAGGGACATAGCTTATGTTTATCTGTTTGAATGCTGAAGTTCGGGATATAGACAAAAATAGATCAACGACTGTTTCCGCCCGGTCTCGAACCGGGGACCTTTCGCGTGTGAGGGGACGTGATAACCACTACACTACGGAAACCACCAGGGATGGTGCTTTCAGGGACATAGCGTATGTATATCTGTTTGAATGCTGAAGTTGGAAATAAAGAAAAAAACATCAACGACTGTTTCCGCCCAGTCTCGAACCGGGTACCTTTCGCATGTTAGGCGAACGTGATAACCACTACACTACGGAAACCACATGAGATGGTACGTTCAGGGACATAGCTTATGTTTATCTGTTTGATTGCTGAAGTTCGGAATATAGACAAAAATAGATCAACGACTGTTTCCGCCCGGTCTCGAACCGGGGACCTTTCGCGTGTGAGGCGAACGTGATAACCACTACACTACGGAAACCACAGGAGATGGTGCTTTCAGGGACATAGCGTATGTTTATCTGTTTGATTGTTGAAGAATCAAAGAAAAAAACAACAACAACTGTTTCTGCTCGGTCTCGAACCGAGGACCTTTTCGTGTGTGAGGCGAACGTGATAACCACTACACTACGGAAACCACATGAGATGGTGCGTTCAGGGACATAGCTTTATGTTCATCTGTTTGATTGTTGAAGTGCGGAATAAAGAAAAAAACATCCAACACCTGTTTCGTCTCCGCTCTGAACGGGGAACCCTTTCCCGGGTTAGGCGGACGTGATAACCACTACACTAAGGAAACCGCATGAGATGGTGCGTTCAGGGACATAGCGTATGGTTATCTGTTTGATTGTTGAAGTTCGGAATCAAAGAAATAAACACCAACGACTGTTTCCGCCCGGTCTCGAACCAGGGACCTTCCGCATGTTAGGCGAACGTGATAACCACTACACTACGGAAACCACAGGAGATGGTGTGTTCAGGGACATAGAGTATATCCAGCGCAATATATCCAGCAACATATGGCATTCACGCACAAAAACAAAGCATCACGCCGGATTCAAAGAAAAAGACATCAAAGACTATTTCCGCCCGGTCTCGAACCGGGGACCTTTCGCGTGTAAGGCGAAAAGTGATAACCTCTACACTCAGAAACCACATGAGATTGTGCGATTAAGGGACATAGTTTATGTATATCTGTTAGAATGTTGAAGTTCGGAAATGAAAGAAAGAAACACCAAAAGACTGTTTCCGCCCCGTTCTCGAAACGGGGGACCTTTCGCGTGTAAAGCCAAACGTGATAAACACCTACAATACGGAAAACCACATGAGATGGTGCGTTCAGGGACATAGTTTATGTATATCTGTTTGAATGTTGAAGTTCGGAATCAAAGAAAAACACATCAAAAACTGTTTCCGCCCGGTCTCTAACCGGGGACCTTTCCAGTGTTAGGCGAACGTGATAACCACTACACTAAGGAAACCGCATGAGATGGTGCGTTCAGGGACATAGCTTATGTTTATCTGTTTGATTGTTGAAGAATCAAAGAAAAAAACACCAACGACTGTTTCCGCCCGGTCCGGATCCGGGGACCTTCCGCGTGTAAGGCGAACGTGATAACCACTAAACTACGGAAACCACATGAGATGGTGCGTTCAGGGACATAGCGCATGTTTATCTGTTTGATTGTTGAAGTTCGGAATCAAAGAAAGAAACACCAACGACTGTTTCCGCCCGGGCTCGAACCAGGGACCTTTAGCGTGTTAGGCGAACGTGATAACCACTACACTACGGAAACCACATGAGATGGTGCGTTCAGGGACATAGTTTATGTATATCTGTTTGAATGTTGAAGTTCGGAATCAAAGAAAAACACATCAAAAACTGTTTCCGCCGGTCTCTAACCGGGACCTTTCCAGTGTTAGGCGAACGTGATAACCACTACACTAAGGAAACCGCATGAGATGGTGCGTTCAGGGACATAGCGTATGTTTATCTGTTTGATTGTTGAAGTTCGGAATCAAAGAAAGAAACACCAACGACTGTTTCCTCCCGGTCTCGAACCGGGGACCTTTCGCGTGTGAGGCGAACGTGATAACCACTACACTACGGAAACCAAATGAGATGGTGCGTTCAGGGACATAGCGTATGGTTATCTGTTTGATTGTTGAAGTTCGGAATCAAGAAGGAAACATCAACAGCTGTTTCCGCCCGGTCTCGAAACGGGGACCTTCCACGTGTTAGGCGAACGTGATAACCACTACACTACGGAGACCACATGAGATGGTGCCTTCAGGGACATAGCTTATGTTTATCTGTTTGATTGTTGAATTTTGGAATCAAAGAAAAA